TTTATATATATATATATATATATATATAACAAGTTGGGAGAATTTAACATATCTATTAATTTAACCATCTTTTAGCTCCTTCATTCTTCTATATGACATCTGATATTCTCAACCGGAATATCATGGATACATGGGCTAAACGACCCCTAAATGACTGACTATATGATGGGCAAGCAGTCAGCAACACCCGCCGCCTACGCAGGCACTTTCAACTAAGTATGACTTTTATCACTCGCCCAAAGTTGAAAGCGCGGATTGTGTTCAGCGGCTCTTCTTCTCGGGTTCGAACCTTGGACCGCCCTTTCCAAGCTTCGTTTCTTACTTTGCATCTACCTTTTACCAAACTTAGACTTTAACGACAGATAAACAAGAGACAACTGACTGCAGTATGAATTACTTACCTTACACTCCAAAAGAGAAACAACGTTTTCATGATGCAACTCGGTCAACTCCTGCAAGATAAAATACAACTACCTTAAAAACAATCCAATTGGTGAACAGAAGTTGATAAAAATTACGTTTTTTAGCATTTATTTCAAAGAATTAAACGTCACATACTTACTACCCCGATGCACTTTTGCGATAGTTAAAATTAATTTTAATTTTAATTGTTATTTTTAACCCACCCGTGCGAGAGATTTTGTACCAAACTCTTACCCTACCGGTGGGTCAGCAGTAAGTACAACAACAACTTACAACGCTAAAATCCTGTGTTCGATTCCCCGCGAAGAAAAAAAAAACGCATACAGCCTACTGTGCGCTACAAAAACCATCCAATCAACCAACCACAAATATGAAGCTACATTTTGTTGCTAGGGTACCCCACGCACCACCAGGGCGAGTAGTTTGTTTTCATTCAAACCTTACTATGGCTGATGGAGCATTTTGTTATATTAATCTGCATTAAAAAAAAACTATTTGTACCAGCTCTACATAGTTACCATGGGCTGGCCATGACACAGATTCTTCGAACTCCACAAGAACCCCTTTCACTTCCTGCTAAAAAAAAAAAAACTTGTAATAGTCAACATAGATGACCTTGAAAGACTCGTACAGCGCGCTTGAACATTCATCCATGTTCAAAGGATTATCACTATCGGTATAAACGTTTCAAGGTTGTGCTTTATTAGTGCCATAATTGTCGAGAGGCAATAGAAACGTAAAGATCAAAACGAATATCAACTGTTTTGTTGTTGTTGTTGTTTTTAAGCGCGAAGCTACATAATGGGCTGTCTGTGCTTTGCCCGCCCCTGGTATCCAAACCCGGTTTATAGCGTTAATATGCTTGCAGTCTTACCGCTGAGCCGCTGGAAGGGAATATCAAAAACTATAGCACTGTATGCTAACACCTATCTTGCAACGTATTTAACTGTATGCTAACACATATCAGGCAACGCATTTAACTGTATGCTAACACCTATCATGCAACGCATTTAACTGTATGCTAGCACCTATCTTGCAACGTATTTAACTATATGCTGACACCTATCTTGCAACGCATTTAACTGTATGCTAACACCTATCTTGCAACGCATTTAACTGTATGCTAACACCTATCATGTAACGTATTTAACTATATGCTGACACCTATCTTGCAACGTATTTAACTATATGCTGACACCTATCTTGCAACGTATTTAACTATATGCTGACACCTATCTTGCAACGTATTTAACTACCATGCTGACACCTATCTTGCAACGTATTTAACTGCATGCTGACACCTATCTTGCAACGTATTTAACTACATGCTGACACCTATCTTGCAACGTATTTAACTACATGCTGACACCTATCTTGCAGCGTATTTAACTATATGCTGATACCTATCTTGCAACGTATTTAACTACATGGTAACACCTATCTTGCAACGTATTTAACTATATGCTGACACCTATCATGCAACGCATTTAACTGTATGCTAACACCTATCTTGCAACGCATTTAACTGTATGCTAACACCTATCTTGCAACGCATTTAACTGTATGCTAACACCTATCTTGCAACGCATTTAACTATACGCTAACACGTATCTTGCAACGTATTTAACTACATGCTAACACCTATCTTGCAACGTATTTAACTATATGCTGACACCTATCTTGCAACGTATTTAACTGCATGCTGACACCTATCTTGCAACGTATTTAACTGCATGCTGACACCTATCTTGCAACGTATTTAACTGCATGCTGACACC